CTGAAGGACGATTTTTCTCGAAAATTTGGCAACGTAGGGAAAAGTGACAAAGAACATTATGCATGTATTTTTTTACGTTCTTTCCGAAAATTTACACAATGTCTAGATGAAATTAAGTTTTACACATGTGAACTTAAAAAAATCCCTATAAATTGGTAAAAATTGGCAACAATGGACAGTTAGGCCCTATAAAATTCATAGAAAGCCATTTTTATGGCCAGATATGAAAAATACGTAGAAAATTACATGTGTTACTGACAAACGGAGGGTGACTAAGGTCGAAAAATATTCAAAAGAGCATACCTTCAAGTAAAAAAAGGCCGCTAAAATCGACATCCCGGATAATTTTCACAGCGTGGGAATCCAGGTACAACTATAATTTTTTGATATGTTGTATATATGGGTAAGAGCTGTTATGTAAGTTAATATAAAAGTTGTACCCCACTTTCTTGAACCTTAGGCGGGGCAATCTATCAAATTTTTGCCGCTTTGGAACGATTTTTCTCGAAAAGGCAACGTAGAAAAAAGTTTCACTGAACATTAATTAATCATTTTTTTGCGTTCTTTTCAAAAACGTATACGGTTCTGAGTTTAAATTGAGTTCTTTGTGTGCAAAATTGAAAAAAACCCTAAAAATGAGCCAAATATGGCAATAATGGACCGTAAGGCCCCTCAAAATACATCGGAGGCCTTTTTAAAGGCCAGAAACGGAAAGTGCGCAAAAAAATACGTAGGAATCGTCTGCTGGAAGATTGATAACAGCCGAAAAAGTCGATGAAAATAACTATTTTTCGATGCCAGGAATTTGTGTTTGAGGCGTTGTTGCACCTTTGCATGGGCTCCGTTCGGTGAAATATTTAGCATAGAGTCTACCTAGTACTAGCACTTTGAAAATATGAAACATTCACCAAAACCGGGTGGGGCCAGAAAAGGCCCAAAACGATACTCCTTCTTTCGAATTTCCGAGGGGATCAAAATGCATTGATTTTCTTGAAGTAGGGAGAGTTCACCACGGAACGAGCCCTTTACTGTGAATTATCGAGATTTTCGAATTAAAGAGGTTTGAATTATCGAGGGATGACTGTAACTATGCCACAGTTCACTTATACATTCCTTCTTAGCCTCAAGGCACGCAAGAGCCTTGCCATGAGGCCCTAGTTCACGCTCAAGGGCCTTGTATAAAAGATCAGCCTGAGTTTTAGTACGGCATCAGTTTGATGAGTTTCGCGATAGGTGATTGTTAGGATGTAGCTGGCCGCTAAATCCTGATCTACATCCGTCTGTTTGAATTTCTGACAGAATTGAGCAGTTAAAGGAGCATGGTGGTGAGACGTACTTAACAACTGTGGTTTAGTGAGAGCAACCGACAAACTACCTCCCATGGCTAAACCTTAACTTGCTGGTACAGATCCTCTTCAAAAAGAAAAATGGTCTTTGAGATACATGTTTTTAACATACACTGAAACAGGTTCTTACATTTCGAACAAAAATGACTAATTTCCTCCCATCTATCAATGACACTCTAATGCTAACTCGACACTATGTTAGTGTACATTCTCAACAGTCCTTGTACCCACCAGGACCCTCTGAATTGTTGATCTCCTGAAAAAATTCGAAGGAATTTTTTATATGATACTCAGTATTCCCTACAATATTGGAGAGAATACGCGCAAAAAATTTCGACATATTCCTAAACGGTGTGTTGATAGAATTAACAGTAGGTCTCATGGGTACCCTATCTTAGTGCAATTTTGCCGGCTCATAAATCTTTGCAACCCAAGCATTATTGATGGTGAGCAACATGGACGCCGAAATGTCCCTGAAACGTTGACGCTGCAGCGCTTACGCGGGAACGTACTAGAAATAGTACTTGAATTATATTAAAACATTTACCCAATTGTAAGAGACAAAACAAACAATCCCCCGCCCTTCCTAAAAAATAAAAAAATGAAAAGATGATACGTACCTGATGTCTAAATTACTTTCCAGGATGCTTTTGATTGCTCTATCAGTTTCTTCTTTCACATCTATTTTGCTCTTCCCTTTGACTTTTCTCCGTGGATCATCAATTAATCCTTGTTCCAAAGCTATTTCTATTGCTTTATTTCTATACTTTGGAAGAGTCATCAAATAATTGAGAGCCGTGTTATACCTGAAGAGCCGGAAAAAAAGTGATTAACGAAGTTTTGTAAAAGCTTTCAATACGCTGTCCCAAAACAATTGTCCATGGACCTTTTATCCAAAATTTCGTAGCCCCTCGAAACGGATACGCCAAGAAGTAGCTCCCTTTGACCTGCGAACATTTTCGAATCATTGGCATTTTTTGTTCATAATCTAAGAGGGGGGGGGTGGACTCTTGGATAAGGCGGCCATTATGTTGAAAATTGAGATATCAACAATCGGTTTTTGCACAAAACCTCTTTTAAAGCCCTTTTGAATGATGTATCACAAAATAGGGGTTCTCCTTTGAAAAAAACAGTTTGGGGCCGCCTCTCGAAATTTTGGGAACGCTAAAAAGTAGTTCACTTTGACCTACGAGCATTCCCCAAATTTCAAATCTCTAGCATTTTTTGTGCAAAAGTATAAGGGGGGTCCTGGACTTTTGGATAACCCTGTATAATATTTCGTGAAATGCTGCATCCCTGACTGTAGTATGTAAATGCTGGATGACTAATATTTAGTAAAAAAAAAAAAAAAAAGACCTGGTGCGTTGTACTTTGTATGCTTGTCATAGTGGCGTTTCAGTCGAGGAAAATGTTTATGGGAATCTTCATTAGAGTATGCACTGTCTATATATGTGCATTGCAAAATCAGACTTTTCCTAACTTCCATATTGTTTTATTTATTGCTACTTTAATCAGACTATGGAACAACAGTGCACCTGATCACGGAAAATCTGCACCCTCATCACATTTTAAAATAAAACATTGACTGAAATTGATTTGAGTTTTTTCCATTACTACGTGCAAAACCACGATAACTAAGTACGTTGAGAATTAGCATGCTGACAGTACCTTTGCCACGAAGTGAAGTATTGAATGACAGTGATAACTATCAATGTAACTATTATAACAATTCTAACATCAACTTTGGGAGCTACTCTTCGTCGATAATAGCGATAGTAATGACTGTAAACTTCTTCAGGATGATCGAGCATATAATCATAATCAGTCCTAGATTCTTCTTCTTTCAAAATTTCATACCTGTAAAATAAGAAATCATGAGATATTTAGCAAAACTCATTATACAGGGTTATTCAAAAGTTACGCACCACTGGCCATAACTTTAGTTCTAATTATGATATCGATTTGCGGTTTGTGGCGTCCTTCCTCATATCGAGAGGGAAACTTTTTTAGGTACTTTTCAGTTCTTCACCCCCCCAGGGGGAGGGGGGCGGGGGGCAACTCAAAAA